ATCATATCACATTTTTTAAAAATTTATTTACTTGGACCATTTTATCTCACTCAAAGCAATTTAATAAATTCAAATGCCAAAACAACAAAGAGTTCTTCAATATTCAAGTAGTTGAAAAAAAATTAAATCACCTGTCCAAGTATGGATCTAATATAAATCAAACCAGATAACAGAAAATATTTAGAATTAATATAACAACAAAACTCTATGTTAGATCTTATGTAATATGAGTAAAATTGCAAATAGAAGGAAATAAATTGCCTAAAATGAATTAGAAAGTGAAAATCAATGCATTATATCTCTAGTCAAGAAAAAGAACCAATTTTATGTCAAGTAGAAAAAAGAAAAAAGAAAATAAAAAATAAATCAAAAAGGAAAGCAATACAAATCAATAACAAAAAAGTTTTCTTGATTATACATAAAATAAATCAAACTTGTACAAGATTGGATCTATTAAAACAATAGAAGGCAAAATAATTCTGATAATGCAAAAAATAATACTGAGAATGTTTATGAGTAAATATGTGATAGAATTATTTCTACATCAAAGGAAAATACTAAGAAATACTTTAGGCTAATAAATCAGAAAATAATGCAAACACGTTCTAAAAATACAAGTGACCAAAACTAATTAGAAGAGTAGAAAAGTTAAAGATATTATTAATGATATCTAACCAGTATTTTAAAAATCTACATATAAAGAAGCACCAGGACCACAGCCTGTGCAAACAGGTAGCTTTCTTCCAAACTTTCCAAAATATTTAATCCTCACACAATATGGCTAAAGGAATTTCCCAATGCAGTTATGATACCAAAACGTTTCTATTTACAGTGGAGAAAATGCATGTCCTGAGGGTTGTCCCAGCCTTATAAAGAGGGTCCTGCAAACAGGCAGTCCTGGGGAACATAACAGTCCCAGAAGAGGACATCCATATGTGGGAGGATGTGACAGCTAGGATAGCAGATTAGTTATTTATAGGGAGTTGATAAACAGGTAAATATGCTAAAGAAAATAGGAACTGAGTTTCTTACTTTTGAAGACATCTACAAACATGGAAAGGGAAATACAGTACAGTATTTCCACTGTAGTGTTGGATAGAACATCAGTTTTCTGTTTTCACAGATGATAGATGGAAGGGTCTCCCATAACTCTGTGACCTAGAGGGCTGGGCAAAATACTTTCAATGGGTATGAACAAACCTAGCAAACTTGTTTCTAAATTCCATTCTCTATCAAAAGGAATAAAATTTCTGAGAGAAGTAAATGGATAACTCCCAATCTGGGACAGGGAATGCATGATTTTTTTCTGCGAGAATGTAAGAAAGTCCTTCAAGTCTAAAGGGGTATGTTTAAGATAAGTCAGCTTAAGGAGTTCTCCCTAGCCAAATCAGGGCCATTTGAGTATGTGTGTATATATATAATGAAAACAAAAGAAAAATAACATATGGGTCCATATGGACAAAATAGGTAAACAAAATTTTGATGAAGACTCCAATATTTACAGAATTTCAAAGTATCTCCATGCAGGTTATTTTTTTATTATAAAAGGGAAGATTAAAATTTCACAGTAGAGAAGTATGGCAGAAAAATCCCCTTAACCAAAGTGAACAATTACAAAATAACAAGGACAACTTGAAATTTTGTGTCTTCCAATAGGTAACATACCATTGCTTCTGTGATATTCCTGCCAAAATATAAAACTCAAATTTGATGATAAAGACACAGCAAATTCCAGCTGAGGGATTTCTACAAAACAACAAAACAGGCCCATATACTTCAATTGCCAAGATTATGAATGTCAAGCAAACACTAAAGGAACTGTTTGAAGACAGAAAGAAACAATTAAATGAACTCAAATTTGTGTCTGCAATTTTTCGTTAAGTTTGAGATTATTTCTAAAGAACTTGGCATAAACTCAAAACCCAATAATAAAAATGTAGAAGCATTTCAGTCAAATCCCCTTTATGTCAAAAGATACAAAAACTATCAAATTTTAGTCAGAAAAAAAATTTAAAACAATTCATTATCAACATTAAGTATTTGTGACAGGAATACAATAGTTAGAAATTAGAAAAACCTACTTGAGTAAATAAAAAAATCTTAATCATATTAGTGAATGAGTATATGATAAGTTTTAAGTCATTCATAAATTTTTCTAGATATCTCTAAGCTAGAAATAGAAAGGAAATTAAGTAACCCAGTTAAAGGTAATTATAGGAAAAAACCTAATAGCAAGTATCACATTGGAAAAACTTTAAAAATTAGTCCTTTCAAAATCAGAAATAAGAAAAAGCAATATATGTGAGGTCTGCTGTCACCGCTTTGACAACATACAGTGATTCCAACCAACATAAAAGCAACGTTAAAAAAATCAGAATTGGGCTGGGGATATGGCTCAAGCGGTACCGTGCTCGCCTAGCATGCGTGCGGCCCAGGTTCGATCCTCAGCACCACATACAATCAAAGATGTTGTGTCCGCCAAGAACTAAGAAAAAATAAATAAATGTTAAAATTCTCTCTCTCTGTCCCCCTCTCTCTCTCACTCTCTCTTAAAAAAAATCAGTATTAAAATTAGAAATTAACATTATAAATGCTATAAAATTATAATAACAAGGTATGAACAAGAAGATACCAAACTTATTCAGCTATGACCATAGATTTATTTATATTTGGAGCATTTCTATATAAATGAGACAATGTTACAAGTGAATATGAAAAGGGTAAATGCTGAAAACCTGGTGCTAGTCTATCCATACAGGAAAAATATTTACATCTATACCTCACATAAGAACAGATTAAAAACAGGTGGAAATCAAAACTTTGCACACTTGGAAAAAAGTAATTAGGATTAGAAAAATATTTTTAAAAATCTTTATAATTACTAGGATTAGGGAGAAGTTTTTAAAGCACTCTATTAAAAATACTGCCCTTAAAATAATTTGAAGTCAAACCATCTGTATGACAAAGAAAAAAAAAAACAACTAGAAATGTAGATGGCATTTGCAATAGGGTACATGAATTAATATGCAGAACTTGTGAAGAATAAATCATTAAAAATAGAAAAATATTGAACAGATAATGAAACCTGATGGTCAATGAGAGCAAAAGATGTCTCACATCATTAATTAAGCAAGAGGTTCAAATTAATGCCACAATCAAGTATCATTACATACCCACCAGAATGGCTAAACTGGCCAAGTATCATAAAGGTTTCAGGATTTTGGTGATTGGCAACAAAAGAAGGAAAATGCTACATAAAATGCTGGAGCTTAAAAGACATTTGGCAATGACCTTGATTGCTTTACTTATTTCTGGCCTAAGGAAGCACTCTACAGTGTCTGCAAATAGTAAAAAACAGGAAAGAACCTAACAGTCTTATTAACATTAGGGAAAAGATAAACTATTATTTTCCCCCCATAAAAGAACAGATAAAATGAATCATGATAACGTGTAGCTACATGGCTAAACTGATAAAACATAATGGTGCATGGAAAGAGCAAGTTGTGAAAGGTTACAATGTTTCTTATATAAACTGTAAAAACCCACAAAACTATTTTTTTTTACATATACAGTAAAATTATAAAACCATACAATGGCATGATATCCAGACTTGTTATCTGTGGAAAGGGTGAGATAAAAAAGAAATAAGTGCCTGATCTTGTCTCTAATGTTTGTATTTTGTAATCTGAAACAAAATAACAGGTTGAGTATAAAACTGTTAACATCTACATGAGGAAACTGTGATATAGTTATCATTACCCAGCATTCACTGCCTCAGATAAAACTGTCAGTGGGTGCTGGTGAATGGTAATTTTTGCCACACAAAAACTTGAGTAGCAGAGCACACAAGGAGGTCATAGCTGGTGAGGTAAGGAGAACAGTAGGCAGGTCATTTACATACTGAAATAAAATGCAGACCAGGAAGAAATGTCTTCAAGGACCAACTGTAGTTTATGAATGAAATAAATGTAAATCTAATTTCTACAGAATGAAATAAACCCCAGTAATCTCTCATATTTCTTCAAACCAATCTCATATCCACCATAGATTCTTGTAGATGACATTTGTCAGCACGGCGGCATAAGTAACAATGTTTAGGTAAAAAAATGTTTACCTATTTTTGTTTGTTTTCTTAAGTGAAAGCATTTACTTCATTTAATGGTTAATCTGCAGAAACTTCCCTCAAAACAATTATACTTATTCGCTCACTGAATAAAATATGTATTGAATCTTTGTATATAAACACCATTTGGCTAGCTGTTATGGAAAAATACAATGAGATTATTAACTCTCTTTTGGCTCATTTAACTGATATAACTACAGTATAATTATTTTTCCCATTTTATAGAGAAAGAAATTGAAATTGAGAGCTTAAATTCTACCTGAACCACCATGCTAACAAGTTAGTAGGAGCCATCATTCAGTTTGTCAGGTGACCTGAAGATCCATCAATTAATTGTACTATAATGCAACGCTTTCTCAAAGCCCAGCAGAGATTTTCCTCTAAATTTCTTGCTCTTTCTGTTTTACATGGGCTGAATCCACCATATTTCAGGTTACATCTTTCCCATAAAACCATTCATTGGAATCCGAGTAGAAGAATACAACCATAATTTTAAGCCAGTAATAGCAGCTCCAGACCCAGGAAAATAAAAATCATGTTTGTTTGTTTGTTTTAATTAAGAAGTAACAACTATAATCCTCCACACTAGAAACTTTGCCTGAAACTTCATGTAAACTTCCTTACCTACTAACCACATTGGCATACAGAACATGTAAATCAGAAGCCCACTTTATAGGTTAAAAAAGGTCTGTCTACAAGCTAAAAAACCTACCTAAATTCACAGTGGTGGACCCAGGCAGTCCAATTCCCAAAGCAGGCATGGTTAACCACCAAGCCACTGTTTTATGAACTTTTGGGAGACTCAATGAGAAATTATTTTACATCACAATCCAACACACACACACACACACACACACACAACAACAACAACAACTTCTACAGAACACTATTTACTTCAATAATATGTAGCAAACTCTTTTAAAGATGCTGGTTTTGAGTCATAAAATCTCCTCAAGACATGGGCTTTTAAAAATACATAATGGTTAACTGCTCAAAATCACAATATTTATTAAAACAATGATGGTAGCAAAAAAAAAAAAGAAGAAAACAATGAAATCAAGGTCAGCAACAGAGTTAAGTAATAATTAAGAATATAAAAAAATTGTTATTCACAGAAAATACATTATGTACATTGCTTGGAACCATGCATAATGCATATATATATATATATGAAAAACATAAATATAAAAACACTTGGGTTAAAGTAATAAGGATATAGGCAATTACATCTTTGTAATTTTATAAAGGCTTTTATTTTTCCTTACAAACTAGGGTAGTTCAGAAACCAGATAATAACTCCTTGGGGGGAGGAATCAAAACAATTTACTTGTGTTCTTTCTTCTTAAATATCTGTTTTAGAACACAGTACAGTTTCCCAAAAGTTTTACAAAGTTAGCAAACTTTTCACACCAAAAAAATGACATTAAAACAAACAAAAATGATTCTGTGTTTTAAATGAAAATTGGGAACTGTACTAACACTAAAGGAACAAACCTTTGCAACACATCCTAAAGCTACATACATTCAAGCGTTGCAGAAACATCCTCCTTCCAAACCCCCTTCCCTTATTCTTTAAGTATTGTGCCTTAGGGTCACAGACCCTTGTCCTGGGAGTCTCTCTGAATCCATCCCTGATTTCAAGAGGATGGGGTTGGACCACTAGGCTCAGGTCTAGCTCTATTCTCCTCATCTGCCAAAGCCTCACAGTACTGCGCTGGCCAGTCCTTGGGGTCTTGATTATGAACTTTGGCCACAAACTTAAGAACTTTCATCTTGCTGGTTTCCAGGTTGGTTCGCGGGCCCCACTGGAATTCGTAGTCTACCGGATCCGTGTGGGGTATGCGTCGGTACTCCAAGTAACGTTGTCGCACAAAGTCCTCGGTAATGAGTTTCTTTGGATCCCCAAAGATTAAATGCTTCTTAGTGGGGTACACCCCCAACCGACGCAGAAAGTCCCAGACCTCGGTCTCCTTGATTGTGTTGCCCTTCATAAAGATGAGCCCTAGAACAATCATCAGTAGGCCCGTAGTGGGAGTGCCCTGGTCGCCTCTCACCTCGGCATCCTCCTCCACTGGCTCCAGGGTGTTGATCAGGATGTAGGTGTTACTCTTGGGCTCAAGTTCCACTAGCTTGTACCCGAAGACGTACTGGAGGCGCTCCGCAGCCAGTTTGAGGAGGTCCGGGAAGATGTCCTTGTAGTCCCCGATGACATGCTTCAGTATGTCGGTCCGCTTGATAGGAATCTTCTTCTGGTCCTTAATCAGCAAGAACTGCACCAGCTCCGCCACCTTCAGCTCCAGTTGCTTCTGGGTCCGAGGCCCCACAGTGGGGGCGGCCTGGGACCGGCGAGCGCCCTGCGAGGAAGAGCCTTGGGTCTCTTGAGAGCCCGCCGGGCCGCGGGAAGTGCTCGGGGTCTCCTCCGAGACGCCGCCTCGGTGGGCCCGGACGTCTCCGCCGCGGCCCGAATCCCTGTCTTTCTCCGCCGGGGAACTAAAGCGACCCCGACTCCTTGGCTTTTGCAACATGTCACCCAGCAACCGGAGCCCGGCGCCAGCTCAGACTCCAGCGGACAGAAGAACGCTCGCCGTAACCGGCGGAAGAGGCAGGAATTGTGGGTCCGAACGAGGCGCGCCTGCGCGGCCTGGGCGGCCTGGGCGGGGCCTCAGAAGGCGCGCGCAGCGTCGGTGGAGCCAGAGCGCCATGCCAGGGAGGGGGCGCGGGTGTCTGCTGGGGCTTAGAGGTGTCTGCATGGCTACTGCGCATGCGGAGAGGGGAGGCTTCTGCGGTCCCTAGGTCCAAGCTACCACTTCGGTATTATTGTGTGCTGTGTTTTTCAAGTCATTCAAATAGAAAGCAAGAACCCAAACTCGCAGGCAAGGGTGCGACCAACTTTTAGGCCACACATACTTTGGTATGTTTTATGGCCGTACTGAGTTCTAAACTCGGGTATGTTTGTAAACGGAGGAAACTCAAAAGAATAAATTTTGGAGAAAAATAAGGTAAAGACGAAGGTGAGCCTGGAAGTCAAGTAAAAGTATTTATTCCTATATTAAATGCGCACATAAAAGACCCAAAGGACTCGTAGTTTCTCTACCTTTCCTTGCTCAAATTTACACCTTCCTGATAATAGAATTACTTCTACCTTCCTTTCAGGTCTATAAGGCAGGCTTTCCTCAAAAGCAATATTTCTTCCCAGTTTCTTTATTTATATTTTCGGTGTTACACTTCATTAGCTAGACTGCCAGGAGAAACCCATCCACAAAAGCAGGATCCACTTTTGCCAATAACTAACTTGGTTAAATGAGTAGTTTTATTTATTTATTTTTTTAATGAGTATATCTTTAAAAAAAAAAAAAAGTGTAGACCCACAACCACAATTTTAACAGAAATGGCCAAGTGGAATGTTACAAGCAGAGAAATGTGCTCTCTCAAGAGATTACCATTTAATTTGGGGCATTCATGGTCAAGAATTCCAATAATGTGAAGTTCCTAGATGTCTTTTTTAATTTTTTAGTTATAATTGACATAATACCTTTCTTTCTTTCTTTATATGTGGTGCTGAGGATCGAACCCAGGGCCTCACACGCTCTGGGCGAGCACTCTACCGCTGAGCCCCCTAAATTTGTTAATTCTTAATATATTAGCCTTAGGGCTCGAAAAGAAAAGAGAAGAACAGAGGTATAATCCCTTACAATCTATGGTGTGTGCAGTTTGTATATTTTTAATTGTGCAACTCTAATAGCAGAAGAGTCATTTCATTAACTCGAACCATCAGCAATCTGCTGCCATTACTTCTACTGATCTTAGTAAATGTGCTTCTCTATTTACTGACTTGCAAAGAAGAAACTGAATTTCCCTCTTTGTCTTTTTAAAGCTACCCAGAACCTGGGTAAACTGTTCAAAGAACTAAATCAAATTGATTTCCTCTTTAATGCAAATATATTCAAAGGAAAGCAATTCAAAACACATTATTTGAATAATAACATCAAAACACAACCTTATTAAAATTTCATTAAATGTAAGTAGCATAAAATTTTTGTAATTCAATATGAAAATGCAGTCTGATAATGGTACTGGAACTGCAGTAGTAAATGTGAAATCATATTCCATGTTGTGATGCAAACATGCTAAAATCTAGTAAACTATGAATAATAACTTTCTCTTCCACACAAGATACAACATTATGTTCTCAAATGTCAATCTTAATGTCAGGGGCTGCTGTCATTTGAATGTGTCTCCAAAATTCAAATGTTGGAAATTTAATCCCAGTTTAACAGTGTTGGATAATTGGGCCTGATATGTGATTAGATGATGAAGACTCTGTCCTCATGAATGCATGTCATCTCTGGAATGGGTTAGTTATTTCCAGAGCAAGTCTGTTATTAAAGCAAGTTCAGTTGTCTTGCAAGTGTACTCTTTCAGTCATGTGATACATTCCACCATGTTATGACACAGCAAGAGGTCCTCACTAGATGTTGCCCTAGAACCTTGGACCTCCCAGCCTCTGAAACCATGAGCCAAATAAGATTTCATTGTTTCTAAGTTTCTCACTGTGTGGTATTCTTTTATAACAACATGAAACAAACTAAGTCAGAGGCCTACTAATAAAAATATAACATAGTAGCATTCATTTTATTTTACAGTAAGAATTTGTCTGCTTCAGTTTCCTTTAAAATTACAATTTGTACTTAAGTTCAACTAAGCCTCCTGCAATCTAATTCTGCAAAAGCTACTTCCAGACCAGTCCGTTTGTAACTTGAGTCAAATAATTTCAGCAACCAAGGAACAGGAGAGAAATTAAAAATAAGATAAGAGCTGTTGTCAATAATTAGTCTGGTATTTCAATGCTTTCTTGTTAAGGTATTCACTTAAACTATTAAGTAGTTCAATTGGTTAGGTTACCCTGTGACTGTAAGTCAAAAGGGCTGTCAGTGGCACCCTTGCTCAGATAACAGATTGTCATTACTCAAAATAGGTGAGAAAAGATAACAGTTTTCAGTCTGAAAACACCTGTCTACTGTCCAGAAGAGTGAGGGTGAGAAAAACACAGGCATAAATGATAAAATGAAGTTTATATAATACATGGGAAGACACCTAAAACCACATTCCACCTCACTCTGGGAGACCTGAATATTTTGGGTAGAAATTGTGGCAATAAATACAAATAATAACAGCTAATGATTTTACAAAGGTGGATAGCATTAGATTGAAATTTAGATAATGCGTGGGGAAGTCACCCAAACCCACATTCTACTTCAGATTAACACTGAAAGCCATGCATATTTGGGTAGAAATTGGGGTGGTAATAACATTAATAATAGAATGTATAAATTACAATGGCTAATGGTTTTACAAAGGTAACTATGGTTCAGATCTTCTTTCAATTGGTCTTCAGGTACTGCTTCATTTACTCCCCCGAACAACTCATGGAGGCATGTGTGTTTATTGAATTTCTCTTCTAACAAGTGGAGAAACAGGCAAAGAGAACATAGACAACGGTGTTCTTGAAGAAGTAAAAGCTTTGGAATCAAATGGCTCTAGATTAGAGACCTGTTCTGACACTGGGAAAGTTACCAACACCCCAAGTTTTGGTTTCCAGATCAATAAAATGAGACCACTAATCCTGGCTTCAGAAGATTGAGATAGGTTTGTCAAGTACTTAGCACCTGGCAGAATAGTTGATAATATTTTTTTTTTTCTTTCTAGGGACTTTATGTTAAGGAAAATATACGAGTGCTACACAAAGTTGTATGTGGTATACGGGAAGCAAAACTTTATCCTCTTAAGAGTGCCAGCTAGACCTGAGAATTAAATTGGTATGAGACAGATTAACAGGAGAAAAAGAGTACTTTGTTTTGTTTTGTTTTGTTGGTACTAGGGAGCACACAGCCACTGAGCCACATCCCCAGCCCTGTTTTTGTATTTTATTTAGATACAGGGTCTCACTGCATGCTGAGGCTGGCTTTGAACTCGAGATCCTCCAATCTCAGCCTCCTGAGCCACTGGGATTACAGACATGTGCCACCGCACCTGGCAAAAATGTACATATTTAAGTACTACATGTCATTGGAGCTCTTATAAGGAAATGATGACATAGAGAAGTAGAAAAACCTAAATTCTTTTATATTTGAACAAAGAGAAGTAGTTGTGGAAAAGGAGTAAATTATATGGGGAATCTAAGGGAAGATAATTATTTTAACAAGGTTTGTTTGTACAGAATTCTCTTGGCTAAGGCTCCCCATGGAATAATGTTTCTTTTCTGCTGGTACCGGAAAGGCATTTTGCACATGGGAGTTTTTAATCTCCTATTCCCAGGAAGAAAAGAGGAGACTAGAATGCCCTTCGTGCATCTGCTGTTTTTCAAGTGCCTTTAGCTCAAAGTAATCTTTATGCCAAAGTGGCATATTTTGGGAGGCATATTCTGCTACCCCTTAGTAAAAAGATGTTCACTGCAATAAAACACATGCACATATCAAAATCAGGGAAAGTTCTGGAGCTATATGTCAAGGAAATATTAGAGTCATTTACTTTTTAAAATAAAATTCAATTTTTATTTCTTTGCTTGGGGATAAAATTATATCCTCACTGAAGTTTAACTTCATGGTGACATAATACCATAAAAGTTATGCAATTCAAATTTTCGATAAATTCTACGTGATTTGGAATATAGTATTTGTGACTTTATATATAAGGAGTGAAGTAACAAAGACAAATGGTTTAAAAAGAAAAGAAATTTTCAAATACTTTATGCTAATGACCTCCTTGCTGTTATTGACAGACCTAAAAGAGAAAAAATTGAAATTCTTTGAGGTAAAATCTAAGCTAGCTAAGATTTCAAATGCATTGAGCAGGGAAATGCCTGAGACCAATTGCTCTTTAAATGTCTCTAAGTAATTAAATGCTTTATTTCATCTCCTTGGTAGCAAATGCCTGCCTAGAAGCTCTAATCATCTTTATTATCTACTAGATTCTTCTCTTCATTCATTAGTATTTCTTGTAGATCCACAGCAACATTTTAAATTTTCTGATAGCAATACAGTGCTGAAAGCAGGTGAGGACTTTTGGGAGAAGAAAGGCAGTGATCAAAGCATGCAGCCAGCATTTGTGTGCAGCTTCCCCACCTTTTCCAGTGGATGAAAAGGGGACAATGCACAGCATGTGTGCAAAGACTTCAGTGGCAAATACTATTTGGGTAGATAGAGGGAAAACAATCCAGATTTTTTTTTTTTTTAAAGAGAGAGTGAGAGAGAGGGAGAGAAAGAGAGAATTTTAATATTAAATAATATTAAATAAATAATAATTTCGGTGGACACAACATCTTTGTTTGTATGTGGTGCTGAGGATCGAACCCGGGCCGCACGCATGCCAGGCGAGCGAGCTACTGCTTGAGCCACATCCCCAGCCCACAATCCAGATTTTTAATGGTGAAATAAAATTCCTTGGGTCCACTCATTCTGACCCCTCACTGCAACAAAAGGGTCCACCTATTCTTAACAAAGATATTCCCACTTAGACCACATGGTAGTCTTCATAATAACATTTTGTCCCTCCTAAACAAACACTTTGTAATCAAACAGTAGCATGGCTTTCCTGGATTGCTAGAAGAGGGAGTGCTTTCCAAGCACTGC